TGCAGTTTGGGCAAGGTGCCCTGTATCAGCTATTTGATCTGCCACATGATTTCCTGCTGGGATGGGCCCTGGGGGAGAAATGTTAGAACAAATGGGAATTATGTGGAATTTGTGTTTAAGATGACTACTTTCATACAGTAATGATTTGAACATAAGAGCTAATTGTAATTGGAGATATCTTGTATGGGTGAATTCTCAATTCGTTGGACTGCTCCGATGACATAGGCTGAATTGGAAACAATGTTTAAAGGCTCTGGAAATAGCTCAAATGCAGGTATGACTGCAGAGAGCTCTGCTATCTGAGAGGAACCTCTTACCTTGTGTGTGTCATATACCCATTTTCCTGCTCTGAGCCAGGTGACTGCTGTGTTAGATGTTCTGCCAGAACCATCTGTGAGCACAGTTCTAACACTTGTTAGTGGAACAGGAGAAAAGTTGTGTGTTAGCTCTGGTTGAGTAAGGACCAGTAGCTGCAAAAAAGGAATAGAGGGAAGGTGAACTGAAAATTGACCCCTGTAGTCAGCAATGGTTAACTGAAAATCAGAGCTATGAATCTACAATTGAGTTAGTTGAACAGTAGACAAGGAAACATAAATAATATCTGGATCCCTCCCCAAGAGTTCTCAAAGCTGTAATCTTCTTTCGTGGCAGACTTTGGAGAGCATCTCAGGATATGTAGTAATGGGTTTGGAAAACTGAAAGCTTAAAGGAACCCATTCCCATAACAGAAAATCTTTGCCTTTTACATCCAATTGTCCTATTACAGCATAAGTTTGATACCTTTAAAAGTTGCTAAAACAAGAGGTAACCCACACACTTTTCTTTGACTCTGACAGGAACTCAGTCTATTATTTCTTTCCTTTAATACTGCCAGGGCTGCTGGTGTTCAGCATCGAGGGCAGGATAAGTCTGCCTCCCCTTCCAGGAGCTGAAAGAACAGTTTCAGGGTGTCTGTTGTTACACCTAACAGAGGCCTAACCCAACTGATTAAGCCCAGTAGCGACTGCAAATCATTTAAGGTGTGGATGTCATTGAGTAAAGCAACAGTCTGAGGCTGAATAGTGGTGTTCTTAATTTGAAATCCAAGGTATTTCCATGGAACTTGTCCTTTCCCACTTGTCCTTTCCCCGGTGCAATTTCAAGACCATGTGTTAATAGTGCAGTTTTCATGGCCAAATGCACTTGCATGAGTTGTTCCTTGGATTCCGCTGCCAGCAAGAGATCGTCCACAGAGTGATATACGATGGTATCCGGACACTGTTGACGGATTGGTGATAACATGTCTGCAAAGACTCTTTGGCAAACAGAGGGGCTGTTCCTCCTTCCTTGTGGGAGGACTGTCCAGGGATAGCACTGAGATGGTTCTGCTGCGTTGATGGAAGGCACTGTAAACGAGAACCTAAGAGAGTCTTTAGAGTTTAATGCAATGTTAAAGAAACGACCTTTTATATCAATAAGAACAATAGGCCACTGTGAAGGTATCATTGTAGTGATGGAGCCCCTTGATGGAGAGCCCCAATCGGCTCTATTATTTTACTGAGTTCTCTTAAATCCTGTAGCAGTCTCCACTTTCTATTGGACTTCTGTATGGTAAAAATGAGGAAATTCCAGGGACTATCAGTTGGCACGATACGTCCCTTTCCTAGTTGTTCATGTACTAGTAGGTTGATTTGCTGCAATATCTCTCCCTTAAGGGGCCACTGGGATACCCAGATTGGCTGGTCAGAGAGCCATGTGAGGGCAGGAATCACAAGTTCCCTTGTTCCATAGAGGTAGGAAAAGGGAAAAAGTGAATGAATTTCTGTGCTGTGAAGAACTAAATCTGCACTCATCCCAATATTCTGGGGTTATAGGACCTTTATCAAACACATCCTGCACCATCTGTTCACTGGGTTGCTCTTCTCCAGGCACATCCCTTTGCCCAGGGCAGTGTGTCCAGGCTGCCTTGGGCAGTTGCAGATCCCAGCCTGGGATCCCTGCAGAGCCCTGAGCTGGAGGGGCTGCTCTGCAGAGGGAGGGGCTGTGGCACCCTGGGCTGAGCCTGCACTGGCCATGCTGGTCAGGCTGGGAAGTAGAGCCAGCAGGATGGGGATCACTGCTGCTGAACCCCTTCCCAACCTTTCAGAAGGCTCAGTAGCCATGGACAAGGCAGGGCAGGATTATGGGGTGTCTCCAGTGGCACAAAGGAATCAAGGGGCTGCTGGGACACTGCAGGGCCTCATGGAACCAAAGGATCCCTGGGACACCGTGTGATGAAAAAGGGAATAGAATACAGAGGGGGATAATGTCATGGTTTCAGGAGGTTTTTTCATGGTAGAAAAGTAAACCTGTGACACTGCAGAACCTATGGAATCAAGGCTCCATTGGGACACTGAGAATATCATGGAACCAGGGAACCCTGTGACACTCTGGGGCCTCCTGGAACCTAAAGGCCATTGTGACACTCCAGGGCCTCATGGAACCAAAGGAACCCAGGGACACTGTGGAATCTCATGGAATCAAAGGGGCTATTATGACATGTGGGGCTCATGGAACCAAAGGGACCCTGTAACAGTGACAGGGGTGACATCAGACTGTGACCTGTCACTGCTGGGGTTTCACAGGGCTCCATCTTGGGCCCTGTGCTCTCCAACATCTCCATCAATGACTTGGACACAGCACTGGAAGGGACACTGAGCAAGTTTGCAGGGGACCCAAAACTGGGAGGAGCTGCTGAGCCCCTGGAAGGCAGAAAGGCCCTGCAGAGAGACCTGGACAGATCTGAGGGCTGGGAATCACCAACCATGGGAAGTTCAACAGGGGGAAGGGCCGGATCCTGCCCTAGGATGGGGCAACCCTGGCTGGACGGACACACTGGGAATCGGTGGTTGGGAAGCAGTGCCGGGAAAGGGCCCTGGGGGTGCTGGTGGGTGCCAGCTGTCCCTGAGTCAGCAGTGCCCTGGCAGCCAGGAGGGCCAAGCCTGTGCTGGGGGCATCAGGGAGGGGATTGTCCCGCTCTGCTCTGCCCTGGGGCAACCTCACCTGCAAGATTGGGGCAGTTTGGAGAGACACAATGGAAGGGAGAGATTGAGCCATTGGAGAGTCTCCAAAGGAGGCCACGAGGATAGGGGAGGGCCTAGAGGGGAAGGCGTGTGAGGACACTGAGGGCACTTGGTGTGTTCAGCTGGAGAAGAGGAGACTGAGGGGAGACCTCACTGCAGTTCCAGCTTCCTCAGGAGGGGCAGAGGAGGGACAGGCCCTGAGCTCTGCTCTGAGTTCTTCCCTCAGAGGGTGGTTGGCACTGAACAGGCTCCCCAGGGCAGTGGGCACAGCACCAAGGCTGACAGAGCTCCAGGAGCACTTGGATGATCCTCTGGGGCACAGGCTGTGACTCTTGGGGATGGGCCTGGCCAGGGCTGAGGGTTGGACTCCATTACCTCCCCTGTTCCACCCTGTTTTCCACCCACCCTATACCCCCCTGGAATTGCCTCGGAGGTCATAAAGCCACCCCTGGGGTCAGGCACCAACACCTTTCTTGCTCTCTTCTTCTCTGGACCCCGTGCTTCTGGCACGTTTTCCTGCCCTCTGGAACTGGTCCAAGGCCTAGGCCCAGTCTCGTGGATCTGTTTTCTGTCCTGTCTCGCTTTCTATCAGTCTCTTCACAGCTGCATGAACCATCTCTGTTTTTAGCAAAATTCTTGCCTGTAAATGATCTTCACAAGAAATGGTAACTCTGCACTTTCCCTTGAGACCTTTCAAGCTCACTAAACTCCATGACTTCTGTGGTAGAGTTGTCCTTGTCAAGAGCTTGTCTAAAATACAGCAATTCTATGGCTCAGAATTTCTAACACAGTTTGTCATTTCACCCAAGGTGCTCCCAGTTGCTCCCAGGCCCCCCAGGATGGTTCCTTTCCCTCACAGGGACTCCCAGTCTGAGTCCAGGATGGCCCCAGGCACTGTCAGTCACTGCCTGGACGATGCCATTTGCCCCTGCATGGTCCCAGTTGCTGCCAGTATGATCCCACTATGAGCCCAGTCACCTCCAGTATGATCCCACTAACTTCCAGACACTTCCAGTACAAATCCAGTGTGGTCCCAGTCATCCCCAGTATGGTTGCAGTCCTTCTCACACACTGCCAGTGTTATTGCAGTCACTCCCAGGATGATCCTTGTCAGTCCCAGTGTGATCCCAGTATGAGCCCAGCAGGGACCCAGCTGCTCCCACTATGATCCCAGTTGCCCCCACTGTGGTTCCAGTTGCTCCCATTAACCACTTCTCTGGTTCCAGTAACCCCCAGGATGATCCCAGTCACTTCCAGTACAATATCACTCTATCCTAGGAGGATCTAAGTTACCCCCTGCATGGGCCCAGTTGCTCCCAGTCACCCCACTCTAGTTCCAGTCTCTCCAAGTAAGATCTCTGTCACTGCCAGTCTCTCCCAGTATATCCCAGTCGACCTCAGCATGCTCCCAGTCACACCAGTTATGCTCCCTGTCAGTCCCAGTGTGGTCCTGGTCGCTCCCAGTATAATCCCAGGTGCCCCCAGCGTGGTGGCTCCAGGATAGATCAGGAATGGGGAGCCCTGTGTGTCCCCCCCCGTGTAACCCTGTTCGGGGGGGGGCTTTGGTGGAACACCTGCACCCCAACACGGCACCCAGCGCTCCCCAAAAGGTGCTGGGACCCCCATAAACCGCCCCCGAGTCCCATAAGGACTCCCCAGGCTGCTCTGACCCCATCCAGACCCCCCAAATCCCTCATGTGGGGAGACCTTTCTGGGCACTGGTGGTGCCGGAGCCCCCCCGGCTGCGGGGGCAGCTCCTCCGTGTGCGGGCAGAGCCGCAGCCCCAGCGCTCCCCACCTCGAGCCCACCGGGCCCCCCCCTCGCCCCCAGCGCCCCCGGGACGGCAATTTGGGCAGGGGGAGGGGAAGGGGGGGCTCAAAGGGGGCGCTGGGGCTGGGCCAGGGGGGGAAGGGCTGCAGGGGGCGGATCCCGGAGGCGGAAACACGAAAAAAGCGCCGGGACAGCCAAGGCAGGAGCCGGACGGGAGGACAAAGAAGAGGAGGAAGCAGCACGTGGGGGTCGCTCGGTAATGGCGGGGGGAGCGAGACCGGTTTTAGGGTCCCCCGTAGGAGCCGGGGGAACCCCGGTAGCCGCGGAGTGGGGAGGGCGGAGAGGGTCGATCCCGGAGCTGGGGGATCCCCGCAAACCGGGAGTGTGGGGGGAGCACAGAGGGAACGCCGGGCCCCTTAAACGGGGGTCGCGGAGAGGGGGAACCCCTTGGAGTCTGGAGAGGAGGGGGAGCAGCAGTGGGGGGGGGAGGAGCCGGTACCCTCAATAGGCCGGAGAGAGCGGGGACCCCTGGGACCGACCAGCACCTCGAAGGCGAAAGTCAGGGAAGAAAGGACCACTGAGACCCCCAAAATCCCCGGCATCCCTAAAGACGACCCTATAGAGGGGAACCCCCAGGACTCACCGGACCCCCGTCAGCCTGGAGAAGGGGGAGCCCAGAGCACCCAAGGGGGGAACCCATAGAGGGGACCCCTGGGATTCCTGGGACTCCCTTTTACCAGGAGAGGATGAGGACCAAGGTAACCCAATCCCCAATAAATGCAGGACCCTCGGCAGCCCAGAGAGGAGAAAACAGAGAGGGGGAACTCCTGGGAGTTTTGGGCTGAAGCTTGGTGGTTTGGAGGTTTTTATGGGCTCGGGAGAGCCAGGGGTGGGGGGTAGGAACAGCGGAGTGGGGAGAACAGAGGGATACTGGAGCTGGGGGACCCCCGGCAGGCTGGAGGGGGAGCACGGAGAAGGGGGAGGCCCAGGATCCCCGGGACCCTGAAACGAGGGGGCCCAGAGAAGGGGGAGCCTGGACAGGGGACACGCTTGGGATCCCTGTGAACACAAAGTGGAGAACCTGGAGCGGGGGAATGTCTGGGAACCGGGCACCCTGAGGCAGAGAGCCAGGGCCTCCAAAACCCTCAAGTTGGTAGGACCCCCAGCAGCCCAGAGAGGGGAGATCCCCAGACTCCTAGAGTGAAGAGATCAGAGAAGGGGAACTTCTGAGAAGATTTTTCTGAGCTGAATCTTCATAGTTTGAAGTATTTTCTGGCTGAATCATGATTTTTGTAGATTTAGGGGGAGTTTTTGATTTTTTTTTTTTTTCCTCAAATCTCAGTGTTTTATGTTTTTCCAGGCTAAATCTTGGTGTTTTAGAGGTTTTTAGGTCCCAGGATGGCCGGTGAGTCCTAGGGATGGACTTGGGCAGGAGGAAACCCCAAGCCAACGCACTCAGCCCCTGTTTCCCCCCAGCAGGATTTGTCCTTCCCAAAGCTTGGGCGGATGGAGGAGGAGGCTGCAAGGAAGATGCCTCAGGCCCCCCAGGCAGGTGAGGAGGAAGTCAGTGCCCCTTTGGCCCTGTCTTGTGGTGCATCTGTTGAGCAGCCTCCCAGCAGGGAGAAGCCCTTCAGGTGCTTGGAATGTGGGAAGAGCTTCAGGGAGAGCTCCAAGCTCATCACTCACCAGCACATCCACACTGGGGCACGGCCCTACATGTGTAGGGAATGTGGGAAGAGCTTCAGGAACAGCTCCAACCTCCGCGCCCACCAGCTCATCCACACTGGGGAACGGCCATACATGTGTAGGGAATGTAGGAAGAGCTTCAGGCAGACCTCCCACCTGATCCAACACCAGCTCATCCACACTGGGGAACGGCCCTACACGTGTAGGGAATGTGGGAAGAGCTTCAGGCAGAGCTCCCACCTGATCCAACACCAGCTCATCCACACTGGGGAACGGCCCTACAAGTGTGAGGAATGTGGGAAGAGCTTCAGTGACAGCTCCAACCTCCGCACCCATCAGCGCATCCACACTGGGGAGCAGCCCTACAAGGGCTTGGAATGTGGGAAGAGGTTTCAGACCAGCTCACATCTCCTCCTGCATGAGCAGACACACACAGGGGAGAGGCACTTCCGCTGCACCGACTGCGGGAAGGGCTTCAGCCAGAACTCTACCCTTGTCACCCACCGGCGCATCCACACCGGGGAGAGGCCCTAAAAGTGTGGGAGTGTGGGAAGGGCTTCACCCACAACTCTGCCTTGACCTCACACAAACGGATCCACCCTATGAGTGCCTCAACTGCGGGAAGAGCTTTGGCCGCTGCTCCCACCCCGAATGACACCCCTGATGGTGAGGCAACCCCTGGAGTCCAGTGACTGTCAGTCCATCCCTTTCTACCAGAAAGGCCAGTCCCCTTTCCCAGGGGCAGGTTCTGCCAACAGAACCCTTCTTGGGGGATATGTGGAGATTCCCCCAAATTTACTACTGGAGGTTGAGAGCAGAGATCTCCCCACGAGCGTTGGTCTGGGGGAGTTCCATCCATGTCTAATTCATAATTCTTGCTTTGGTGCCAGCTTGAGTAGAATTGCTTCAACAATTGCTTTAGGGTAGAGCGCTGTCCTATCTTATCCTGTACTAATGGTAGTTTTAGTATTTCTATTATGTGGTAAAAAATTCTGATGAAGGTGTTTTGTCTGATCGTTTGGAACCCTAAATAATTCATTTCTATCAATAGATGTGATTTGCCATCCTTAAAACCTCGGGGACAAAAGTGGTTCAGTCCCACGTCTGTAATTTCTTTGAACTGAAAGTGTTGGCATAACCCAAGGCTGAGATTGGATCCAGCAGCCCCCACACCACACAGAAAGTTGGGAGCTCAGGGGGCCACCCCTTTTCCCAACCCTTCCGTGCCCAAAGACCCCCATGGGACTGTCAGACCCACCAGACTACCCCCCCTTTTCCACCCTTCTCCCTGTTTCTCCCACTTTTCCGTGGTCTCCTGTTACAATCTGCTTAAATATTGCAGAAAGAACTTCAGATTCAAATATTCTCTTGAGCGAAAGTAAGACACACACAAGTTATCTGTTGATACCAAAATCCTGATTTTATTAATTGCTAAGAGATGCAGAGACAAAGGAAAAAATAAAAGAACTTATAAAATAGTTATGATTACTTCTAGAAGCAGAGAAAAGGTACCACCATGCTACCTTTCCCCTGAGCTGGTGTGTGTGTGGGGGAGTACCAGTTTTCTGCCCTTTTTTTTCTCTGTCTCTGCAGAGAGCTGACAGAGAATGTCTGAGAGGAAGATTTTGATGGGCAGAAACAATGGAGAAACATAATCTTTGGCATTCATAAATTATCTGTTTGCTACAGATGGTTTCCGTGGTAACCGATGTAACAATGGGAATGCATCATGGTTACCATGGTAACCCACGCTGAGATGGACATGTATAATGGTTCCATGGTAACTAACCGTAACAATGAGATTTCAGAATGGTTGCCATGGTAACCAAGGTAACAATAAGACTGCACAATGGTTGCCATGGTAACCAACTGTAACAATGAGAATGCAGAATGGTTGCCATGGTGTAAGGTGGTACTTTTGATTTAGATGATCAGTGGAGCATACAGGGTTTAGAACGTGATTATGTTTGCATGTGAAACCAGCCAGAGTGTTGTACAAGGTGATTTTATTGCACAAGTTCACTGTAAGGCCCATTGTGCCTTTAGCAAAGTTAACTGGATGTCCCCCATTATCAGAGCTGAGCTCCTCCTTGGCTTGGCTCCACTCTGCAAGAGAGATACAAATCCCCTTGAAACACAATGGTACAGGTCGTCCATAGGGCTGAGGAAGGTGATGGAGAGGAAGATGATGTGGGCAGGGGTCATTGGCCCCTTGCCCTACAGTGGGGCACGCCCAGACTGTTGCCATGAGGTGATGAACGGGCGCTGTTTGGCTGCCACTCAAGCACCACCTTCTGCTGTGTCCTGGCCCTACGTAGTGTAATGTAGAGCTGATGGAATGGGGTGTCAGCACTGCTGGGTGGAGCGATGCTCATCCTTCCATCCACACTGTGCTGCTCCGCGGGGACACCCGCCAAGCACGGGCACCGACCAGCCCTGCAGAGCCTGGTAGGCCTGGCCTGTGTGTGCAGGTGAGCACAGTTTATTGATAGGAAGCAACAGGGAAAGCAAAAGTTTTATATTTTTTTGTATCTCTTTAATTCCCTTTTTACTAGCTAATATTGTATCCCTTTAATTCCCCTTGTACTAACTAATACTTTATTAGAGGCTGTTTGTAGTACTGTATGAACACCAATAGATAAAGTAGGGTTTTTTTGTATTCTTTTAAATTTTTGATTCTCTTTGCTAGTAGTTTTTTTTTACTCTCACTGCAATAAAAGGTATTTTGTAGTGTTTGAATGACTGTTGTACTTGTCTTTATTCCAGACATATCCTTGCAAACCTGGTACACACAGTGATGTCATGATTGTCCCTGTGATGTCACCAGTGTCACCAATGATGTCATAGGTGTCTCTGTGATGTCACCCTTGTCCTTGTGAAGTCACTGATGTCCCCAGTAATGTCACTGATGTCCATGTGTGGGGTGCTGAGCTGAAAAAAGACACACTATGGACAAACCATACTAATTGGCCTCAGTTAGGCCTGCCCCTGACATAGCCAGAAGCCTCTTTGCAGGCAGTGGAAAGATACAGGAGCAGTGATAACAGACTGCAGGAATGTAAACAAAGAGAAACCTGTGACAAAAAAAAAGGAGGACTTTTAGGAGAAAAACAATGTCTTCATATTACGTGGACATCTGTGTGCACCCAATAGGAAGTGTGTCAGTAATACACGCTTGGTTTGGGGGTTACAGCAAATAACCAATAGTTTGAAAGTGATCACGCCCCGGGGGGCAGTGAAAGTATATAAGAGGTTGGGTTATGTAAATAAAGAGGAACATTTGTGTAAATCATCCTGATTTGTGTGCAGTTTGTTCTGGAAGCTCCTCCGCCAACATCCACGTTATATCACAGCTGTCCCTTTGTTGTCACCAGTCCCCTGTGACGTCACTTGTCCCCAGTGATGTCACTGCTGTCCCTGTGATGTCACCAGTGTCACCGATGATGTCACTGGTGCCTCTGCGATGTCACCCCGTCCTTGTGAAGTCGCAGATGTCCCCAGTGATGTCACTGATGTCTTTGGGAGATCATGGCTACCCCTTTGTTTTCACCAGTCTTCTGTGATGTCACTGGTCCACAATGATGTCAGTGCTGTCCCTGTAATGTCACCACTCTCCCCTGTGATGTCACCAATGTCCCCTATGATATCACTGCTGTCTCTGTGTTTTTATCCAGGTCCCCTGTGATGTCGTCAATGTCCATGTGACATCAAGACTTTCCCTTTGTTGTCACCAGTCCCCAGTGATATTTATGGTCCCCAATGACACCATTGCTGTCTCTGTGATGTCACCACTGTCCCCAACAATAGCACCATGACTTCGTGGTGTCACCGATGTCCCTGTGATGTCACTGATGTCCCTCTGACATCACAACTTTCCCTTTGATGGCAACAATCACCTATGATTTCACAGGTTCCTCTGTGATGTCACCACTGTCCCCTGTGATGTCACCAATGTCCCCAGTGATATCACTGGTGTCTCTGTGTTGTCACCTCCATCCCCTGTGATGTCACCAATGTCCCTGTGACATCACGGCTTTCCCATTGCTGTAAGCAGTCCCCTGTGATGTCACTGGTCTCCAATGATGTCACTGCTGTCCCAGGGATATCACCAGTGCCCCAGCAGTTACCACCATGTCCCTATGATGTGATCAATGTCCCTGTGATGTCACCACTATCCCCTGTAATGCCACCAGTGTCCCCGATGATGTCTCTGTGATGTCACACCTGGCCTTGTGATGTCACCGATGTCCCCGTTGATGTCACTGGTGTCTCTGTGGTGTCATCCCAGGGCCTTGTGCAGTCACTGATGTCCCCTGTGAGGTAAGCAATCTCCCTGTGACATCATGGCTGTCCTTTTATTGTCAACAGTCCCATATGATGTCACTGGTTCCTAGTGATGTCACCCATGTCCCTGTGATGTCACCACTGTCCCCTGTGGTGTCAGCAATGTCCCCGATGATGTCACTGGTGTCTCTGTAACTTTGCCTTTGTCCTTGTGAAGTCACCAATGTCCCCGTTGATGTCACCAATGTCATTTTTGTATCACAACTGTCCCTTTGTTTTCACCAGTCACCTGTGATGTCACTGGTCCTCAGTGATTTCACCCATATCCCTGTGATGTCACCAGACCCCTTTCATGTCACTAATGTCCCTGTGACATCACGGTTGTCCTCTTGTTTTAACCAGCCCCCTGTGATGTCCCTGGTCCGCAATGATGTCACAGCTGTCCCTGTGGTGTCACCATTGTGCCCAGAGGTGGCACCTTGTCCCCATGATGTCGCTGATATCTTTGTGCTGTCACCAGACCCCTGTGATGTCATTGATCCCCAATGATTTCTCTGTTGTCCCTGTGATGGCACCACTGTCCCCTGTGATGTCACTGGTACCCAGCGATGTCACCCATGTCCCTGTGATGTCACCACTGTCCCCTGTGATGTCACCAATATCCCCAATGATGTCACTGATATCTCTTTGATGTCAACCATGTACTTGTGATGTCACTGATGTCCCATGTGATGTCACCAATGTCCCTGTGACATCACAGCTGTCTCTTTGTTTTTACCAATCCCCAGTGGTGACAATGGTCCCCAATGATGTCACCAATGTCCCTTTCATTAGGTTTAGGGTTAGGGTTAGGTTTAGGCTTAGGTTTTAGGGTTAGAGTTAGGGCTTAGTGGTTAGGGTTTAGGGTTTAGAGTTAGGTTTAGGGTTTAGGGTTAGGGTTAGGATGTAGGATTTAGGGTTTGGGTTAGGGCGTTAGGGTTTAGGGTTAGGCTTAGGGTTATGTTTAGTCTTAGGTTTTAGAGTTAGGGTTAGTGATTAGGGGTTAGGGTAAGGGGTAAGGGTTAGGTTAGATTTAGGTTTTAGGCAATGTTTGGGTTAGAATAAGGGATAGGGTTAGGGTTAGTGTTTAGGGTTAAGCGTTGGGTTCAGGCTTAGATTTTTTTAAGGTTAGGTCTAGGGTTCAGTATAGATGAAGATACTTCCCAGTCCAAAGGTGCCTGCATAACCAACTCTTGCTCTTTCTGTAGTGC